ATCCCATGTGGAGACCGGTTCCCGCTCACTGGCTGAGCGCGGTGCGGGCGCGACACCGAGGGTTGCGATCCCGTTGCTGGTCCCCAGTACGGGCGCGACACTGAGGGTTGCGATCCCGTTACCGGTCAGTGAAAAAGACAAAAAGGAAAAAAAAAAGTGACCCTCCAAAGGGTAACATGGGATCCAAACACTACCGTTCTTTCACCCGTTCACAGAACTTCTTCAGAATGTCCTTCAGAATCAGCTAGTGAATGGTACACTCACTGATCTTACTGAATAAACAATTTGCTTCCTAAATTTCTTGCTTTATAATCATACCTCTTTATTTGAAAAGCTAAACAAAAATTACCTGATCGCACCCTTTATTCATTGAATTTTGTTTTGAATGACTTTGAGCTACTATTTCCAATTGAATCTATCATATAAAATATTTTTACTATTAAGACTATTGAAATGAATATACATAAGCAATTCCAGAACGTGAACTCAAGAGCAGCTCGGGTGATGCCTTGCTGGAGTAAGTTTACAGCCTGCCACATGGACAATGCTGAATGAACGTCAAACTCATAAAATTTTGGGGACCTGACTGAGATCATTCCTAACGGTTTATTGTTATATTTCACATGAGACCCAAGAAATAACTTTTAAGTGGTTTTACATCTTGGCACCAGGTCATGTTAGTATAAATTCGGCTGATACATATTTTCATTTCTTTGTAACAAAAAGAAAGAACAATTATTTTTAATTGTTCTTAAAAGAATAAGAAAACCTATACTTTTTTTTTTTTTTGTCCTTTTTGAGACCGGCCTCACCGTACTCAGCCAGTGAGCACTGTGAGCGCACCGGTCATCCCTATATAGGATCCGAACCCGTGGCGAGAGCGCTGCTGCACTCCCAGCGCTGCACTCTCCCAAGTGCACCACGGGCTCGGCCCGAAAACCTATACTTTTATGTAACTTATTCGACTTGAATATCTTCGCTTAGAATACATGAATGCAGTGAAATGTAATTACCACGAGCTCTCAGCAGTGAAATACTTACGCCATGATGCCTGAGAGGTGAAACATTTCGGCCGTTATGTAGGACAAATAACTGTACAAGAAAACAAAGAGTGGCTCGATCACTCGGATATTGTGTGTGAAGCGGGTCGTAAATGCCGCTATGAATCCCAGGAAGATGCCAATCAACACCCCACCGATTCCCACAACAAAGAAGTTAGCAATTCCTGCAAACACGTCGATGGTCTCAATGGTTTTCATCTGGCAAAAGGACTTGAACAAGTTGCACAGGACCTGTGGGAGAAAGAAGACACGCTGTCAAGTCTGTTCCAAATTCCCCATCACCATGCTGGGCACAAAAAAATCTACCCGACCTTTTCAAAAGTACGTTTCTTCTGTGTGCCCAAGTGGATGAAAAGTGGCAATCGTGGGGTACTTATTTGTCTCACATTTTAATATTGCAGCTTTAAACCAAAAAAGCTTTAATAAAAGTATGTTGTCAGAGAACCTATTCTAAAAGTAAGGAAGAGGAGATTTTTAAGTTATTGCATAACTTATTCCTAAAACATCATTTTCTCCAGGTATCATCTGAAAGATCACTTTAAAATACTCGTTTGCCACCCAGCATAGGCCACTCGTATTATCACCATTACTTGGGAGGTACTACGCCACGGAGAAAGCTCGTCAGTGACGCTGTCACTGTACGTATGTACTTCACAAGGTCCTATTGTGGAGTCACGTCATGTGATGACAAAAAAATCTGCTCTGAGCAGGTCAGCTAAATTGTCGTGCCTTGGGGGATCTGGGATACGCATCAGTAGCCACGCCCACCTGTCCTAGAAAACGTTATCATAAGACCATTTTTACTTAGAAGCAGACATGACGGCACCAGAAAGCCATAAAACAACCTAGAATGTTTCTTGTAATCCTAACCCTAGACCCTGCATGGAGGATATTAACAATCCCAGATCTATACACATGGAAACCAATAAAAACACTGATGTAACGATAAGGGGGGTGTCTGTTTTCTCTCTTTTGATTCTTCTCACTCTTGTAGTTATAAAATGCTGACCCCTGCTGGTCCACTTCACAGCACATTTCTCAAGGTGATGTGACCTACGTATTTCCCCAGTTGCACTTGTCATGTTGGCTCAATAAATCCTATGCTTTATATGTTCGTCCTCACTTTCTCTTAGGTCAACACATGGAAGGGATCCACCCATCAGTACAGGTACCCAACCTGAGGAAGTCCTCATCCCAGGCCACTGGGGTCCTCTCTCCATATCCCAGCTCCTCCCCTCACCCACATATGTCCCACCTCGGATGTAGCATGAGACACGAAGGAATTGTCTTAAAGCAAAGAGGAAGCAAACTGTGTGTGTGTGTCTGTCTGCTGTAACTTCATACATATTTTGTGCTTTAAAGTAAGGAGACTACACTGTTGTTTGGTTTCTTTCCATTGTCTTGGTGTAATTAAGGCTTCAAGAATGCGTGGCACTTCAGTGTGCTGGGCAATATGCTTTCAAACACACTTCTGGCGCCAATGCACCCCAACACAGGAAGTGATGGCATAAGCCCTACGACTTTGTCACAAAACAATTGTATTCAATTGTATTGAGTCTAATACAAGTCCAGCAGGTGGCCTGCTTCTTTTTCACTGTGACATTGCACCTCTGGGGGCATCTGGAATCTCCAGGAGATATGGAGTGAAGGCTGGACTACACTCTCATTTGGGTTCTGGGAAATTCAAAATTTTCCAATTTGTCCAAGGTCAAATAACACAAAATGTCAGAGGCAACGTTAAAATCCAGGTCTCCTGACGTTCTGGTTGAGTTGTTTTAGGTTCAGCCATGGCAGGGTGAGTCAGACTCCTGTGAACCAGCGTATGCTCCAGCAAATGCCATCTCACTCTTTTTCTGTACTGGGGTGCAG